AAAAAACTTAAGTTCCAGAAACCTTATATCTGAACTTGTCTTTAATTGTCCCAAGCTATGGATCTTACATCATATTCTTTGAGAATCTATTCTACAGGCAGCTATATCTTAGCTCTGGGGAGTTAATCCTGATTAGAAAAATTTCATTTTCTTTTCTTAAAGTAATCCCATTATTTCTAATTGTACAAATCTGTGTTGCTCCATCTCCAGAGTTAATATTTAAAAAATATCTATAGACTTACATACTCAGCCAAACAGGAATTTATTGTTTCAGAAACCTTTAAAACAGGTCAGCTAGACAGCCCACCTAGTTTTTCAGTTGATATGAGCTATTGAAGATGTTTGTAAAGCACTTTAAAAGGCGAAAAGTGCTGTATACGTTTTAAACATTAGTAAATTCAACCTAGTAGCATCTCATTCCTCACCAGAATTTGGACTATAGTACATGCTTAGTCCTTAATGTAGCTCTTGGTTCTTAAAGCCACTAGAAACCACAATTGATTGATGGAGTTTAAATAGATATTTCTGCTGACAGAAATCTACCGAAAATACAGGCAGTCCCCGGGTTACGTACAAGATAGGGACTATAGGTTTGTTCTTAAGTTGAATTTATATGTAAGTCGGAACTGGCTCCAGATTCAGCTGCTGCCACTGAAACTGACCAGGGGCTGACTACAGGAAGCCTGAGGCAGAGTTGCTCTGCCCCCAGCTTCCTGGAATCAGCCTGATCAGTTTCAACAGCTGCTGAATCTGGAGCCTGGGACAGAACAGCTGGGGCGCTGCCCGATAGGTTCCCACAGGACCAACCCGGCAGCACCCCAGCTGCTCTACCTGAGGCGTCCCGCAACAAAAGCCTGGTCTGCTGGGGGGGGGGCGCACTAGCTGCGCCCCCTCCCCCCCAGCAGACCAGGGGGACAGGAGCAAAGCCGCCCAGGTGGCGGGGTCCTGCTGCCTGGGCGGCTTTGCTTCTGGGCAAACGATCAAAGCCGCCCAGGCGGCGGGACCCCCGCCGCCTGGGCGGTTTTGCTCCTGTCCCCCTGGTCTGCTGGGGGGGAGGGGGCGCAGCTAGTGCGCCCCCCCCCCAGCAGACCAGGGGGACAGGAGCAAAGCCGCCCAGGTGGCGGGGTCCTGCTGCCTGGGCGGCTTTGCTTCTGGGCAAACGATCAAAGCCGCCCAGGCGGCGGGACCCCCGCCGCCTGGGCGGTTTTGCTCCTGTCCCCCTGGTCTGCTGGGGGGGAGGGGGCGCAGCTAGTGCGCCCCCCCCCCAGCAGACCAGGGGGACAGGAGCAAAGCCGCCCAGGTGGCGGGGTCCTGCTGCCTGGGCGGCTTTGCTTCTGGGCAAACGATCAAAGCCGCCCAGGCGGCGGGACCCCCGCCGCCTGGGCGGTTTTGCTCCTGTCCCCCTGGTCTGCTGGGGGGGAGGGGGCGCAGCTAGTGCGCCCCCCCCCCAGCAGACCAGGGGGACAGGAGCAAAGCCGCCCAGGTGGCGGGGTCCTGCTGCCTGGGCGGCTTTGCTTCTGGGCAAACGATCAAAGCCGCCCAGGCGGCGGGACCCCCGCCGCCTGGGCGGTTTTGCTCCTGTCCCCCTGGTCTGCTGGGGGGGAGGGGGCGCAGCTAGTGCGCCCCCCCCCCAGCAGACCAGGGGGACAGGAGCAAAGCCGCCCAGGTGGCGGGGTCCTGCTGCCTGGGCGGCTTTGCTTCTGGGCAAACGATCAAAGCCGCCCAGGCGGCGGGACCCCCGCCGCCTGGGCGGTTTTGCTCCTGTCCCCCTGGTCTGCTGGGGGGGAGGGGGCGCAGCTAGTGCGCCCCCCCCCCAGCAGACCAGGGGGACAGGAGCAAAGCCGCCCAGGTGGCGGGGTCCTGCTGCCTGGGCGGCTTTGCTTCTGGGCAAACGATCAAAGCCGCCCAGGCGGCGGGACCCCCGCCGCCTGGGCGGTTTTGCTCCTGTCCCCCTGGTCTGCTGGGGGGGAGGGGGCGCAGCTAGTGCGCCCCCCCCCCAGCAGACCAGGGGGACAGGAGCAAAGCCGCCCAGGTGGCGGGGTCCTGCTGCCTGGGCGGCTTTGCTTCTGGGCAAACGATCAAAGCCGCCCAGGCGGCGGGACCCCCGCCGCCTGGGCGGTTTTGCTCCTGTCCCCCTGGTCTGCTGGGGGGGAGGGGGCGCAGCTAGTGCGCCCCCCCCCCAGCAGACCAGGGGGACAGGAGCAAAGCCGCCCAGGTGGCGGGGTCCTGCTGCCTGGGCGGCTTTGCTTCTGGGCAAACGATCAAAGCCGCCCAGGCGGCGGGACCCCCGCCGCCTGGGCGGTTTTGCTCCTGTCCCCCTGGTCTGCTGGGGGGGAGGGGGCGCAGCTAGTGCGCCCCCCCCCCAGCAGACCAGGGGGACAGGAGCAAAGCCGCCCAGGTGGCGGGGTCCTGCTGCCTGGGCGGCTTTGCTTCTGGGCAAACGATCAAAGCCGCCCAGGCGGCGGCTTTACTCTAGTGTCCCTGGTCTGCTGGGGGGGGGCCCAGAGGCCAGCAGACCAGGGAGACCTGGAGAAGATTTTCTCGCCCCGGAGGACATGGGTGGCGACCCGCCGCCCGTGAGCTCTGGGGCGAGAAAAGCCCCGTTCGTAAGTGCGGATCCGACAGAAGTCGGATCCGCATAAGTCGGAGACTGCCTGTAGGCTAATTTTGGCAGCAAAAGAAAGTTTTGCCGGTTGATGCCTTTTAGCTTTCAGTCACTCAGTGGAATAAGTGAGCAATAATATTGATATATGATTATGGCTCTTGTTGAATCCACCATCAGAAAGCCTATCTACAAGAGCAATTCATCCATATTTCTAACACTGAAGTCACATAATGCACAGTCAGTCTGTGGAACTCCTTGCCAGAGTATGATGTGAAGGCCAGGACTATCACTGGGTTCAATAAGAGCTAGATAAATTAATGGAGGATGATAGTGCCATCAATGGCTATTAGCCAGGATGGACAGGAATGGTGTCCCTAGCCTTTGTGTATCAGAAGCTGAAAATGGCAACAAAAGATGGGTCACTTGATGATTACCTGTTCTGTTCATTCTCTCAGTGGTACTTGGCATTGGCCACTATCAGAAGACAGGATACTGAGCTAGCTGGACCTTTGATCTCACCCAGTATGGCCATTCTTAGGTTCTAAGTCAGAGGATAAGACAAAGGCATTGCCATATAAGAAGTTCAGAAAATAGACAGGACTATGTCTGTATTAAATTGTTACTGAATATCAGGCAAGTCCTGAGGTTAGCATGCAGATAGATAATAGTCCTCCTTACAGTTGGTTCAAAGTCTAGTCTAGTGTGGCATAATCACTATAGGTCAGACTTACAGAGGTACTTAATATGTATAAACTGCTGCTGCTTTTCTTAGAACTGTTAGTTTTTGCTTTTTTTTTAATTTTACCTTGTAATAATAGAATCCTGGAAACAGGACTCGATAGGTCATCTAGTTCAGTCCTCTGCACTATTACCTAGAATATCCCTGAAAGATGTTAGTCTAATCTGTTCTTAAGTCTCCACTGATGGAGATCCATAGCCTCCCTAGGTGATTACAGTGCTCATGTACACTGATAGTTAGGAAGATTTTTCCTAATTAACCTAAATATCCCTTGCTGCAATTTAAACCCCTTGCTACTTTTCCTGTCCTCAGTGGATAGAGAGAACAGTGTATCACTTCCCTTTTTATAACAGTTTTCAAGTATGTAGAAAGCTGTTACCCTGTACCCCTCAGTCTTCTCTTTAGACTAAACAAAACAAGATTTTTTTCTTTTATTCTAGACCTATAATCATTTTTGTTCTTCTTCAATTTGTCCACGACTTTCCTGAAGTGTGGTACACAGAGCTAGACACAATACTCCAGCTGAAGCCTTATCAGTGCTGAGTAGAATGGAAGAATTACTACTTGAGTCTTGTTTGCAAGACTCCTTCTGATACCATCCCAGAATAATGATGTTTGCTTTCTTTCCTTTTTTTTCCAACAGTATTACATTGTTGATGTGTGTTTGGTTCATGACCCAATATAACCCCCACCTTCCCAGGTCCTTTACAATGCTACTCCTTTCTAGGCAATCACTTCCCATTTTGTATTTGTGCAACTGATTAGTCCTTTCTGACAGTATTTTGCATTTCCCTTATTGAATTTAGGGATGTAATTGGTTAATAGGTAAGCATCATCCTCAACCGTTAATCAGTTAATGGGTGGTGCTTACTGGTTCTAGTTCACCAGTGGGGGCTAGGACAGATCCCTGCTTGCCACAGTTCACCAGTGGGGGCTGCTCCTACCCTGTGGTACCCACCCTGGACAGAGGAGTTTCAGCCCAGCTGTAGCAGCCCCTGTCTATGGCGGGCCTGTTCCACCCAGGCGGGTGAACTTCCTGCTTGAAGTGGGGTGCTGCTTCAGCTCCATTGTGCCAGGGGTTGAGGGAAGAAAAGCCCCCCCATCAGTTAACTTATTAAACATTATGTTTAACCAGTTAACCAATTAAACAGGATTTTGCATCCCTAATTGAATTTCATCCTATTCATTTCTCCAGTTTGACAGGATCATTTTGAATTCTAATCCTGTTCTCCAAAATGAGTGCACTACCTCACAGCTTAGTGTTGTCTACAAAAATATAAGTATATTCTCTCTGCCATTATCCATATCATTTATGAAAATAATTAATAGACCCAGATTCCGGACAGATCTCTGCAGAACCCCACTTGATATGACTGTCTAGCTTGGTAGTGAATCACTGAGAAGTATTCTGAGTATAGTTTTTCAATCAGTTTTGAACCCACCTTATATTAGTTTTGTCTAGGCTATATTTTTCTAGTTTGCTTATGAGAAGGTCATGCAAAACAGTATCAAAAGCCTCACTAGAGTTGAGATATATGACACCTACTATTTCCTACCTCCTATAGAACTTCTTATCCTGTTAAATAAGGATATTAGATTGATTTGATTTGTTCTTGATGAATCCATAGTGATAGCTACTTATCTCCTTATGTCTAGGTGCTTACAAGTTGATCGCTCCATTTTCTTTCTGGGTACCAAAGTTAAGGTAATTCCCTGGGTTTTTCTTACCCCCCCCCCTTTTTTTTTAATAGATGAGTACTATATTTGCCTGTTTCTAGTCCACTGGCGTCAATTTTATGCTTAAACAAAGCACGCGAGATCTTTTATAGGGGAAAAGGCAGTACGCTGCATTTATTGAGAATATAACAGTTGCATATGCTTTTCAGTCACTCAAACACACAAACACCATGCACACACAGTCCTGCCAGATGATGTTATAGTTACCAGTCCAGAGACTGAGTCAATCTAGTGGCCAGCCAGATTGATCACAAGGGGAAGCAGGGCCTTTTGTCAGTCGTGGTCCGATGCTCTCCTGGAGTTGGTAGCAAGACGAACACAAAGTTCCATAGCAAGGCACCCTGCTTTTATTATCTTCCTTCCTCTGTTGAAGTCTATGGATTTCGCTCTGTCAGTTTGTGACCAGTTACTGTTATCTTGTTGATGTTAATCATTCCCAAAACATCTCCAAGAGGCTCATCCTGTCCTGGATTGTTAATCAGTTGGTTTTAGGGATGCCTTCACCTTTAGAGCCGTCAATCTGCAATCTGATCAATTCTTGACTGTGGGTACACACTGATGGTTCTTCTGATGCCGATATGTCTTTTCTCAGACTGTTTTTTACATTTTGTCTTCACCCGCATTGCCCCTCCTTTCTTGGCAATCTGGCTCTAATGGTGGCCTTCACGCCTTCATCTTTATGATGATACATTTCTTATTCACACACACAGTCTTTCACAGAAACCTTCAAAGGTAAACAGTACTGTTTTATATTAAGCAAAAGCAAAATCAAAACAATTCACATCGGAGGCCTGGGCCTTCAATATCTCTAATCTCATTAACATAGACACAATACCAAAATCCTGTCTCTTTACTTACTAAACTTTAAAATAAATATATATATATCTTACTAAAGGGCTTAGTTTAATAAAATATCAAATGTGTATGTTACCTTACATTGCTATGTTATTAATCCTAAAATACAAATATAAAAAGAATAAAACTTTCAATCCCAACATCAATCCCATCCTCTATGAGTTTTTATAGATAATTGCTAATGGCTCAGATTTCTTCAGCCAATTTCTTAAGTATTGTAAGATGTATTCCATCAGGCCCTGCTGACTTGAAGACATCTAGCTCTCTGAG